TGCCCCACTCCTCAAGACAGTATTGCTATTCCTTTAACATATACAACACAGTTATTGTGTAACTTTCTTCCACTCCCCAGGTGGCTACCATTAGACACAAAAATATATATATACATACATACACACACACACACATCATTTATTTTTCTGGATCCAAACAGCATCTTTTTTCATGATTGGTCACCTCCCCCTTCTAGGCTTTCCCTTCTCCAATCTATTCTCCACCCAAGCCACCCAAGTAAACTTCCTATCCACCTTTCAACAAATATGTGATCATTTGAGGAGATACAGAGATAAAGAATACTAATAATTAGGAGGCTTCACATAGGAGGTGGTCCATGAGCTGAGCCTTAACAGAAGCTAGGGATTCTAAAGAGGAGATTAGGGATGGGTACAATGGGTGCATTCCAGGCCTCAGGGACAGTCTGCAAAGGTATAAAGGCAGGAGATTGAATGCCAGGTTTAAAGAACTGCAAACAGGTCAGTCTGGGTAGAAGGGAGAGTTTGTGAAAGAGAACAATATGCAATGACAGTTGCTAGCTGTGTGACTGGGCAAGTCATTCAACTCTGTTTGCCTCAATTTCCTCATCTGTAAAATGAACTGGGGAAGGAAATGACAGACCACTCTAGTATCTCTACCAACAAAATCCCAAGTGGAGCCAAAAAGGGCTGGACATGGCTGAAATAACCCAACAACAACAATTTATCCTGTATATAGCTTGCTTTGTATGTATTTGTTTGCATGTTATCTTCCCCGTTAGATTGTAAGGATCTTGCTCTCAAGGACTGTCTTTTGCTTCTTTTTGTATCTCCAGTGTTTAGCACAGTGCCTGGCACACAGTAGGTGCTGAATAAATACTGATTCATTAGCTGACTTCTATCCATTGCTCCTAACTCTCCGGGGTCAAGAACAAGTCCTTCCCCCAGAGCCCTCCTAATCCTTCAAACCCGTAGTCATACCTACCCTAAGTCTTATATTCTCTAGGATAAACCTCCCCAGCTCCTTTAACTATTTCTTTTTCTCTTTCCAAACTCCCCTTTGTCCTGGCCACTGTCCTATGGATGTGCTCCAGTTTCTTCACAGTTCTCTTGAAAGGGAGCTTCCAGAACTGAATGAGGTACCCCCTCCAGCTGTGGTCTGGCCCTGGTACAACCACAGTGGGGCTTCAGTGTGGCTGGGCGGAGAGATTAGAGGTGGATTCAGAGGGCGTATCAGCTGTGTGACCATGATTACTTACTTTCTCCAGGCCTCAGTTTCCTCTTTTGTAAAAAGAGGGGGTTAGACTAGATTATTTCTAAGGTCTCTTCCAGTGCTTAAACTATGTATGATTTGATGACTCATCTCCCTCTCATTCTGGAATATTCCTGCATTAACATGGCCTGAGATCACAGAGGCTTTTTGGGCCTCCATGTCACACTACTGACTCATCTTGACTTTGCAGCTCACTAAATACACCAGATGTTTCACACATGAGTTGCTGTCTAGGCACACTTGCACCCACTGAGAGCAGTGTAGCCTGCTGGAGAGAGCACTGGACTTGGATTCAGGAAGATCTGAATTTGAATCCCGCCTCAGATACTTACACAAGTCACTTAAACGTTCTGAGTCTTAGTTCTTTAGCCGTAAAATGGGCATACTAATATCTGCATTGGGCAGCTAGGTGGTGCAGTGGATGGACCTGAGTTCAAATCCAGCCTCAGACAAATGTCTAGCTGTGTGACCCTGGGCAGGTCACTTAACTCTGTTTGCCTCAGGTTATCACCCATAAAATGAGCTGGAGAAAGAAATGGCAAATCACTCCAGTATCTTTGCTAAGAAAACCCCAAATGGGGTCAGACTGAACACCACCAAATATCTCCAGCACTTAACTCAGGAGGTGGTGATAAAGATCAAATGAGAATATGTATAATTGTAAATGTGTAACCTATGCAAATCTTAAAGCACTATACTGTCTTGTACTAAGAAAAGAGTTCAAATATGTGATTCTAAATCATAAATTTGCAGCATCTTTGGGGACCCACTCTAATTAAGTCAAGGAGTTAAAATAGCATATGATGAATGCAATGTAGCAAATGTAATCGAGCAATGAGACAGAATGTAGTAATAATAATAATAATAACAGCTCCCAGACACACACATTCCTCACAGACATTCCTTTAAGGTTTACAAAGTGCTTTCCTTCATGACGCCCCCACATAAGGCAGGTGGTACAAGGACTGTCATCCCCATTCAAATCATGCTTCAATTACTTTCTCATCCTTTCCCCCGCCTTCTGGCCCTAGAACACTCTACCACCCCCATGGCTTGCCCACCCCAGAATACTGCTCCACAATACCCCTCCCTTTCCCACTGGTTAGTTCCTCCTGGAGCCTCCATTTTGTGACGGATCCGGGCCAGCCTGCCTTCATTTACCACCTGGCCCCATTTCCCCACTTTCTGGACTTCAAAATCATGCCCCTGTGCCAGATCTCTTCATCTCCGCCTTTCCTGGTTTCAGCTCCCTGTCATGGTGTCTTTCTCCATTTGAATGTAAGCCCCTTGAGGGCAGGGACTGCAATTCTTCTTGTTGTATTTGTATCCCCAGCTCTGGGCACTGTGCCTGGCACATATTGCTGTTCAGTTGTTTCAGTCATAGCTGACTCTTCCTGATCTCATTTGGGGCTTTCTTAGCATAGATTCTGGAGCAGTTTGCCATGTCCTTCTGGAGCTCATTTTACAGATGAGGAAATTGAGGCAAACAAGATGAAGTGACTTGCCCAGGGTCACACTGCTAGTTAAATGTCTGAGGCTGGATTTGAACTCAGGTCTTCCTGACTCCAGGCCCAACACGCTCCACCATGCCACCTAGCAAATTCTTAATAAATGCTTGTTTTCTTCCTTCCTTAGTTAACACATAAGGAAACTGAGGATCAAAGAGTTTAAAGGATTTGCTCACAGTTATAAAGGAAGTATAACTGGTGACTTCCGAGAGAACTTCATTTTGGTGACAGTCACTTTCTCGGTCTCAACACTACATAGAATTGTGGAATTTTAGAATTGGAAAGAATCTTAAAGATAATCTAGTCCAACCCCATTTTGTGGAATGAGAAACTGAGGCACAGAGATATGACATGATTTGCCAAAGGTCACATAGCTGCCCCATTCTGGTCACGTGTGGTATTTTCTTGCTTCCACCCCACAGCCATCCCCTTTTCTTGGAACGTTCCTATTGCCAAGCCCCCACAGCCATCTGTGGCATCCAATTCAAGGCCCCATTCAAAAGGCAACTGTTCCAGGAAATCTTCTGATCTTCCCCCTGGAGATGACACACCTTTCCTCAGACCCGATTTCAGATTTTGTCTTTACTGTTCTCTGTCCTTTACTTTATACTTTATGTTACATTATATTTACCTGTATAGTGGGGAGGTCAAACACACGGCCCATGACACTTCCAAGTGGGGCTGGATCCAGATTAAAACTCGATTAGGAAATATTTAACAAAATCAATAAAAACACAATCAAACATGCCACTTTGTGGGGTTTGATGCCCTGCCCGTTTCTATTTTCGCCTCCACTGCTGCACATGTTTCCTCCTTTCCCACTGCACTACAAAATCCCCAGGCATGAGACCACGTCAATGATTTCCGTTATTGAAGTCAGCCCCAAACGGAGTGTGCTGCAACACTCCTCAATGCCCATGTGCTGTCCATGGGTAACCTTCTGTCTTAGATAGTCCAGGCCTGGGGCACAGATGGGTTAAGATATTTGCCTGTGGTCACACAGCCAGGATGTGTCAAGCAGGACTTGAGCCCAGCTTCCTAATCCCAAGACCAAGGCTCTATCCACCACGCCACTCTGCCCCGTATAGCAGGTACTGCCAGCCATGGCACACATCTTGGAAACCAGACGCGGTTCTTTACTATCTATTCTGACTATTCCACGTGTAAATGCCAGCTGGATTGTGAGCTTTTATCAAGCAGCATGTCTTCTTAGGACCCCAGATCAATAGACGGGGCTGCTTGAACATAGGACACAGGGCATCAGCACCAGGAGGGATTTCTTTCACTTCTAGACCAGACGTGCTTTCAGTGGTCAGAAACGGCCATCTTCTGAAGGAGCCTGCCCTGTGGCTCAGTCTAGGACATGCTTGGGCCCCTCTGCCTGGAAGGTGAAACCATGAACTCTTCAGCCTCCATTTTAGGAGGGGGCACAGGACAGCTATCTACTCATCTTCCACTGGGCTGCACTTATTTTGCACTTGACTTCTCCTCTATGCCCTCATGCTATGCAACTACCTAGCTGGCCCCACTCCCCCACGTGCCCCAAGTAGATTGTAAGCTCTGTGTGGGTAGGGACTTACTTCTTTCGTCTTTGTATTCCCAGTGCTTAGCACTGCCTGGCACATAGTAGGTGCTGTTTATTGACTACTGACTTGCCCAGGGTTACAGCCAGTGCAGGTGGTAGGACCTGAATCCAAGTCTTCTTGATTTTTAAGTCTGGCTCTCTCTCCGTTTTGCTACACTGATTCAGAGAACGCTAGGACATGATGTCTGAGTTGAAAGTGATCTGGAAAGGGTCCTCAACAATCATTTCTTCCAATCCTCTCATTAGAAGAGGGAAGCCAGATAGACAGAGATGAGTAATTGGTGTTACCCCAGGTCAGGGCTCCCTGCTATATCAGCCCCTATGCCCACCAGGCCACGGGCTACAGACATAAGAATGGCTCTCTATCTAGAAGCGGAGCTCCAAGTACCCACTTCTTAATTCCGCCATTGGCCCATTGTAGTGAGCCTTTCGTTTATCACTTTCCCCATCCCCATGACTCCTCTATGTCCTCCTGGGGCTGCTCCGCCTCCAGGCCCAATGCTGCAGATGCATTGGCTCTCTGATGCAGGCCCGGGACCTCCCTGCCGCTCCCTCTCCAGCTATGCTTCCCTCTCCCTGGGGGCAGGGACAAGAGGTATTGAAGGGGCTTGGCCCTGACCTTTGGAACGCCTCTGAAAACACACGGCTTGGAAACTTTTTTAACAGTGAAGTATAAATTAAAGGTTTATTAAAGTATTTTCAATGTCCTCTTCAGTGGCACAACTCATTTCCTTGTACCCCTTTGTGCCCACCCAGACAGCTGTCTGCCAAGTGGCTGTAGAGGGCACAGCATGTCCTACGCATTTCCTCAGACACACAATGGGGTGTGAGTGACAAACGGGGTGGGGAGGGGAAGGGGGAAGAGGGGAAGGCAGACAGGACACGGATGGACAGGTGAGAACGGCAGGATCCTCAGGAGGGGGCTCCTCTCCTAAGGAGCTAGGAACGAGCCGACAGACACTGGTTTACAACTTCCAGTAAATGGGAATTCTCCAAAGCTGCTGCGACGCGCTCCTTGTCAGCAAGCTGTTTGTTCACTGGACAAGAAATGAACAGAGACAGGTGGGGTGGGTGCCTGGGAGTAGCGCCCCAGGAGCACCTCCTGCCTGGCGGTCCCACAGCCTGAGGGCTGAGAGCAGAGGCTGCCAGAGCTGGAAGGCACCGTGTGCTCTAAGGGACCCGAGCACAAAGAACATGAGTGCTGGAGTAGATGGCCTAAGATCTCTTCAGTCCAGCTCCTCACTTCAGAAGAAACTGACGCCAAGAGGAGAGAACTGATGTGGCTCAAGGCCCCGGCTCTGGAAAGCCAGACCTAGAACCCCAAGTTCCTGACTCTAGGCTCCATGCCCTTTCTGCTGTGCTATCCTAGAGCCATCCCTAATATCCAGTCAGTTACCAGATCTGTTGTTTCTTCCTTCAAAACACTGTTCATATTCCCTGATCTGCACAGTCAGGCCGCCACCCCTGTTCAGCCATTGTCATCCCATACCTGGGTTACTTCAGGAAATGAACTGGCATCGCTTCTTCAGTCTTTGGCCTCCGGTCCACCTGGCCCAGGCCACCAGACTAACTCTTCCCAAATGGCATTCAAACCTTCACTTGCTTGTTCAAAACTCCCCATGGCTTCCGTTTTCCTGCAAGGCCCGTTCTGGATGGGTCAGACTGGCCCTGCCTGGACCCTTACTCCCCCTCCTCTCAAGGCCAATCTCCTTACTGTGTAGTAAACGCATGGAGGCCTTCTGCCCCGCTTGTCTTCCTTCATTCTGTTCTCCCTGGCAGTAACCATCTTCACTTTTCCACCAATCTGTATCCTCAGGACTCATGCCCTGTGAAACCTTCTGGTTTAACCTAATCCACAGTGAGTCCTCTGACTTGGAATTTCCTAAGCACTTATCATTTGTAATATAATAACAGCAATAGTAATAATGAGGATGATAATAAATACGTCCTCACTGTTGTAGCATTGTTCTTAAATTGTTTATATTCTTTCTCAGTAATTAGGTTAGAAATGTCTCAAGGGGGAAAGCTGCCTAATGCTTCTCCTGTGCCCCCTCTCAGGATCCAGCAGGAATCTAGGCAGACAGGAAGTACTTAGCAAATGCTCACTGCAAGAAGCCCAAATCTGCCTTTTGTTGGGCAGGCACAAAAGGCTGACTGGGGAGGAAGCCCTAAATCCCCACATCTGCCTCCCTGTGTCCCCCTGACCAAAACAGCCTTCTTCCTTTCCAGTTCATTTAGCAGGCTTCAGGCCAAATTTCCCATACCATCTAATAGGAAACCAGCAGTTGTTTGCCCTGCTCCTGCAGCCTGTTCTCCCCAGATGGGACACAATTCCAGGACCAGACCTCCACTGACTAGGTTCCCCCGTCAGGAGGGAATGGATATACTGGCAGGCAGGAAGAAAGTTGGGTGTCTGTAGCAAGATTTCAATCCAGATCTTTCCTCCTGACTCTCATCTTGATCTTGGGAAATAGGGTTGAGGGAAGGTCACTTGCCCTAATTCAGACCCCAGAAATGAAGAAAGATCTCACGTCAAGTAGATGGAAACCAGGGAAAAAAAACAACAACCCAATTCTATCCTTTCTTGGGTGTTTCCATTGGAATGAGAGGGCACTGCCAGGAGGAGAAGTGTGGGACTGGGGCCCATACTCACCGGCGTGTTCTGAGGCATGTGTCCCAGGAGTAATGTGAACATCCATCTGGGAGGAAGAATGAAAGAGCCATTGAAAGGCCTTGAACAAATTCTGATTCTTGCTAAGGGCCCATCTCCCAGGCCTCTCAGGGCATGGGGCAAGGTGACTTAGGAGGAGATTTATGACTCTTCGTTCCTCAATGCCCTTTCACAAAGGACAGAGTATGACAGACACCTCACTCAAATTCCCTTTAAAAGTATTCAAAGGGCTAACTAGCAAGTCAGATATAGAGCTAGTACATAGCTATGGAGCATGCATGTCCTTCACTGACCTTGAACCTTTCAGGCAAGGAGCGGATCAGCTTGACTTTGATGGACAGGCCGATTAATGTTGCCATACTGCAGTGAGGGATTGTGGGAGTAAATTCCACAGCCACTGTACTCTCCTTGTCATTAACCTGCAGAAGAAGGAGAGAGTGCCAACTACTGCTTATCTGGGCTCTTCTTCCAGTGTCAAGGAGGTCAATACTGATACCTAGACACAAAGGCCCACGCTGACTCTGAGTGGTTTCTAAAAAATTCTGAACTTAGTGCCAAACAAAAAGAGCATTTCCATATCTAAAGTGGAACAGAAAAGGGGTGATCATGCATGAAACTGTGATACTCTATTATGTACAGCATGCTTTACTTTGAAGTTTGTAATAAATTCACCTTGTACCTTTCAAAGCTCTCCTGCTTCTCTGAGCTCTTACGTGCTCTTATAGTGCTCCGTCAATGGTCAAACTGCCACAGAACTGCTCAGGAAAACTGCACGGTAGACTCACCTTGCTTCCCTCCCTGAATTCTCTATGTACATGAGATCAAGAATCTTAATCTTAAGGGAATTTTTTTTTTAAAAGGATCAAAGGAGGCCTAGCGTACCAGGTCTCAAACTATTGCACAAAGCAGTAACCATCAAAATAATTTGCTACCAACCAGTTAAAAAAATAGAGAGGTTGGTGAGTGTAACAAGTTTGGCACGTAACACAGAGAGCAAATGAACTCTGTAGCAAAGTGTTTGATAAACCTAAAGACCCCAAGTACTAAGGTTAGGTCTCATTATTTGACAAAATCTGCTGGGAAAAGTGGAAAGCAGTTTGGTAAAAATTAGGTATAGAAAACATTTCACATCACATACCAAGATAAACTCCAAATGGATTTATAACTTAGACATAAAGGGTAATATCATAAATAAATTAGAGGAATACGGAAGAAATTACTTCTTGGATCTACGGATAGGGGAAGAATACATGATCAAAAAGAGTCACAGAAAACAAGATGGACAATTTTGATTACATAAAATTAAAAAGTATTTGTGGGAACAAAAGCAGTTCAGTTAAAATTAGAAGGGTAACATGTTACTAGAAAAAATCTTTGAATCAAATTTCTCTGATAAAAATCTGATATCTAAGATATATGAGGAATTGATTTAAATTTAAAAGAAGAGCTATTCCCACTTGATAAGCGGTCAAAGGATATAAACCGGAAGAAATCCAATTTATCAACAAACATAGGAAAAGGTGCTCTAAATAATGAGTAAAGAAATGCAACTCTGAAGTTTCACCTCATACCTATCAGATTGGCAAAGTAGATAAAATAGGAAAAGGACAATTGTTTGGGGGTGGCGAGGCTCCTGGATAATAGGAATTTTTTTTTAGGTGAGGCAATCAGGGTAAGTGACTTGCCCAGGGTCATACAGCTTTTAAGTGTCAAGTGTCTGAGGCCGGATTTGAACTTCAGTCCTCTTGACTTTATGGCTGGTGCTCTATCCACTGTGCTATACTATTGCTTGGTTATAATTCGAGAAAAAGATCCATATATACAAAATTATTTAGAGCAACTACTATTACTATTATTTTTTGTAGTAGCAAAGAACTGGAAACTAAAAGAGTACTCATCTATTGGGGAATGGCTAAATAAAATATGGTATATGAAGGTAATGGGATATTACTGTGCTGGAGAAAATGGTGAAATGGATCACTTCAGAGACACCTGGAAAAAAATATATGAAATGATGCAAAGTGAACTGAACAGAACCAGAACAATTTATACAATAACCTCAGTCTCTTCCTCTGTACAATAGGGATGATGTTGGCATCACAAACGAGGAAGGCACTTCCTAAACCTTAAAGCATTATAAACACACACGCAGGGAAGCCTCGCTCACTTTCCTTTATATTCCCTGCGCTTCGCACAGTGCCTGGCACAAAGTAGGCTCTTTAATAAAAGCTAGTTGATTTAATAACTGAGAAAGCATCCCTGTGGATGGGTTCATCTCTTCCCAGGGGAAATCACTGGGGGAGGGGAGCAGAAATCACTAAGGTGATGGCAGGACCCGCCCCCCCCATCCCCTTCCTCACTTTCACCCGCACTTGCTCCACGACATTCAGCTCCTCCAAGGTGAGCGGGTGCTCGGGGTCATTGATGGACCGGATCAGGTGTGCGCGGCGAGTGAAGGAAAACGCTACTGCGCCAAGGCCAGCAGGGGGCGCTCCAGAGCTGTCTCCTTGTCCCAGCCCCCGCCCAACTTGCCCCGGGATGGCTCGAGCTCAGGCCCCGCCCCTACCCCACATAGGCTCCGCCCAACTCCTGAGGATGACCAATCGAACGCCCCGCCCCCACCCCCTCCGATCCCTGCCCAACTCCTAAGGATGATCCCACTCACACCCCGCCCCCGCCAGGTCCCGCCCTCGCTTCCAGCCGGGCCCTCTCTCGCAAACTCCCCAGGCCTCGTTCCACTTCCCGCCGCCGCCCCTGGGATTCTCGGCCCGCGAAACTCCCCAGGCGCAGGATCTCCGGCCGCCCGTGGATATCGAAGATCTCTCGGTCGTCGATGCTATCAGGGACCTGATCGTCCTCCTCGCCTGCGGTGACGGGCCGCTCCCCGGACCGTTGGTAGATCAGCGGGTTCGCGTTCTCCAAGAGGCCGCCCAGGCCAGCGCCGCCGCCTGCGCCCACCATGTTATCTGGACCCGGGGCGGGCCGTTCATTGAGCGGCCCAAGCCGGCAAGGCTCACTTCCGGTGTGCGGCTTTGGTGGCGAGGAAGTAAAGGGCGTTTCCGGGAGGGACGTCTACGGTGGTGCGGAGAGGACAAAAACATTGTCCTTGCGTTCTAACACCGCTTCTCTGAGATCCCTAAGCTGCCTAAGAATAAAGGCGGGGTTGCTGTGAAAATCCGGCGATCAGGAGGGAGGGGGGATTCCGCTCGACCAGTGTGTTTCCAGTGCCAATTCACGACGCATCCCTGGGCCTCAGCCTTCCCATCTGTAAAAATGAGTGGATTGGACTAGATGACCTGAAAGGGTTCTTCCAGCCTGGGGTGTGCTGGTTAATGTTTAACCACGGGATCCTGGCAGAGGTAAGGGATGTAGACCGGGCATCCTTTTAAGTTTAATCAGCACTGTTAACCCTTTCTTAAGCCTGGACGATCCACACGACAATGCACCAAGTCCTGATTGTAGTATTTGCAGATTCGGAGGTGAGGTGTGTTTACCCTGAAAATTTAACCTCGCCTCTGGCCAGCCAGGTTGAGCTACTCCAGCACTTCAATGCAGGAGTTATTGAGCACCTACTGCATGCAGGGCCTTCCAGATACAAAGACAGAGGAAACTGCCTTTGTTTTCCAGGAGCTGGCATCCTACTTGAAGGAAATAATAATAATACACTTTATATTTCTATATTATTACTGTGTGCCAGGCACTTTACGGTTATTATCTAATTTGATTTTCACAACCACCCTAGGAAAGAAGTGCTGATATCCCCCATTTTACAGATGGGGAAAACTGAGGCAGAGGTTAAAGTGCTTCCCCCAGGATTACACAGCTAGTAAGTGTTAGAGACTAGATTTGACCTTCGGTCTTGCAGAGTCCAGGCCCCTCTCTATCTACTGAGCCATCTAATTGCCTACAACACATTGGGATACATCTTGGACACAAGAACATAGAGCCTGAGATGCCTCTGGCACATCTAGGCAGAGGGGTCCTGCAGACCAGGAAATGAAGAGAAAGATTTCAAGCTTGAGAACAGGACTTGGTATAGAGATGATAATTGAATCCAGAGGGCCAGATGGAATAGATCACTGAGAAAGGAAAAAGGACTGGGCTTTGGGAACACAATTAGCAAACCCTCCTTTGAAGGGAATCAGAGGTTTCAAGGAGGAGTTTGTACCCCACCACTCCTTGCTTGGATTCCATCTCCTGCTGGTTCACTGGGAGTGTCCCCCAACCCTGACCTTTGATTTTTTCTCTTTAAACTCATTTGGTGATCCCCTCTGCTGTCCCTGGGAGAGGACTCCCAAACCTACTACAAGCTTGACTCTTCCTCCTGAACTCCAGGCCATCCTGACCAGCTGGATATCTCTACCCACAGGTGCTAGTGCTCCACATATCCTTGTTGGGACTCATCCTATGCAGTCCTCCACACAGCTGCCAAAGTGATATCCCTGAAGTACAGGATATCACTCTTCAAAAAGCTCCACTGGCTCTTTATTGTCTCTAGGATTAAAAAAACAAAAAACAAAACTCAAAACCAAAAAACACCTCTGTTTGGCATCTTGAGCCCCTTACAATCCTGTTTTGCCTACCCTAACAGGCTTATCGAACCCTTCTCCCTTTCATGCCTCCTACATTCTGGCCAAATTGTCCTTGCCGTTTCTTGTGGGTAGCATTCCATCTCCTGTCCCCACTCCTCCACAGATTGTCTCCCAAAGCTAGGAAGAACATGTTCCTCCCTTTCCCCTCTTAGTATCTCTCGCTCCTTTCAAAGCTCAGCTCCAGTGTTACTTGCTACACAAACCTTTTTCTTATTCCAGCCTCCATCTGACCTTAGGTGCTACTAGTTGTTCCCTGCCCCCCCCATTACTTTATATTTACTTAATTACATACCTATCTACTTTGATAGATTGTAAACTCTTCAAAGAACAGCATTTTGTTTTTGTATCTCCAGCACATCATAATCCCTCTTTGATTGATTTTCATGCAAATCCTTCTTTCCTCTTAACTTAGTTGCTATTTCCCTTGAAAGAATCACTGTCTTTGTAGTTCCTGTGGTTGGCAACCCCAGAGTCCCTCTTGACCCCCCCTCCCATTGTTGTTGGGTGCCCTTTGTTCTTGAAGAGGACCAATGACATCAGGAAGGTGTCTGACTTGTAAAGGAATTGGATTTAAATAAGGCGGAGTCCTCCCTAGACTTCCAAGTCCATAACTGAGACAGAAGTCCAGAGGACTAGCCCTCCTCCCCCACCTCATATTGATGGAATAAATGAAATGTTAGATCTGGGAGGACCCTTAGAACATAAAAATGTCACAGCTGGAAGAAAGCTTAGAGACTGAAGAATCCAATACCTTTATTTTACTATAGATGAGGAAACTGAGTCCAGGTAGTAAGCAGTAGAGGATTTGAACCCAGGTCCTTTTACTCACAGACCAACACTTTATCCATTTCATCAAGCTGAATGTTTTGGAGCTGTATTGGACGAACCTTAGCAGCTGATTGGAAATGAGGGGGAATTAGAGAGTGAAGAGTTAATGATGACTGCTGTTGCAAACCTAGAAGAGATAAAAAGGTTATCTTTTGGGTGCCTTCCAATTCTGGAGCTCCCATGAATACACAGAAAACATGTGATACCATGCAAAGAGAGGAGAGCTCTAGATACGCAGCGGTGCAAAACTGCAATTGTATACAAGGAAAAATACACAGAGGGGAAACAGTAACTAATACACTGTTAGTCTTGGCACTGAGGTGACGGAGTGGATAGAACCCTGGGCCTGGAGTCAGACCTGAATCAAAATCCAGCTCTAGACCCTTACCAGGTGTGTGACTGGGCAAATTACTTAACCTTTTTCTGCCTCAGTTTCCTCAACTGCAAAATGGAGATAATAAAAGCATCTATCTCTCAGGGCAGCTAAGTGACTCAGTGGTTAGAGTGCTGGGCCTGGAGTTAGGAAGACTCAATCTTCACAAGTTCAAATCTGGCCTCAGATACTATCTGTATGACCCTAGGCAGGTCACTTCACCCTGTTTGCCTCAGTTTCCTCATCTGTAAAATGAACTGGAGAAGGAAATGGCAAACCACTCCTGTATCTTTGCCAAGAAAATCCCAAATGGTGTCACAAGGAGTTGGGCACAACTGAAAAAATGACTGAACAACACCTCCCAGGGCTGTTGGTGAGGCTCAGGTGAGATAATACTTGTAAAGTGCTTAGCCCAGGGCCTGGTACATAGTAGGTGCTTAATAAATGTTCCTTTCCCCATTTAGAGAGCATAGTTCCAAACATATGTTTAATAGGTTCTGTTGTTCAGGGTAAAGTATCCCATTAAAAAGACATTTTAAAAAGTTGAAATTAATTGTGCAGGTACAGGCTAGGGAAATGTAGCTTGATAGTAATTTATGTGGAAAAGTTGGGAGAGTTGATAGATTGCTATCTCAGTGACTCAGGCCATTTGAATTCAGTCTTGTTTGTTCCTCTACCACAACACCTCTGCCGAGGCCATCACCTGCACACTTGAAGTCATTATCACTCACCACATAGCATCTCTCATCTGGGCCCTCATTATTTCCTGTCTCCAATTCACCCTCCACTCAGTTACTAAAATTATTTCCTTTATAATAGTACAGCAGTCTACCTTCCCAGACTTCCTTCATGTTATGTCCTCGCTTTCATGAACACTGTGTTCTGGCCAAGATGATCTCTGCTTGTTATCTGAGCTTGGCACTCCATCTCACATTTATGTAGTAACACTAAAAGTTTTCAGAGCATTTTACATATATTTGACTCATGAGCCAGACTCTTCTGTTTAACTTTTTTTTTTTAGGTGAGGCAATTGGGGTTAAGTGACTTACCTAGAGTCACCCAGCTAGTAAGTGTTATGTGTCTGTGACCTGATATGAACTCGTCCTCCTGACTCCAGAGCCCGCAGGGCTGTATCCCCTGCACCACCTAGCTGCCCCTTGTTTAACTTTTAAAACCCTTCTTGACTTGTACCAACCTATCATTCCAGCCTCATTATATATTACCCACCTTTCCTTGCTCTTCCATCCAGCCAAACTAGCCTTCTCTGTTCTGTACACATCAACCTTTCCCTTACCTTTGCATCCTTCATGCCAGGAACACACTCCCATCTCACCTAACAGAATCCCTCACCTTCTACATAAAGCCTTTCCTGGTCCTATCCCTTCTCTCCCACCCCAATTGCCAGGGCCCTCCCTCACCAATTTCTTTGCCTTTTTTCTCTATATATTTATTCTTTATATTGTTGTCCTCTTGCCTGCCCACATATAACAAGTAGCTGGATGGCTTCCTCTTTTGTACTCTGACTTGTGGGTTGAATTGCCAGAGGTAGTTCTCTGGGTCTGCACTCCTAAGAGTATAGCTCCTAAGCCTATACCAATGTGCTTTCCATTAACAGTATATACCATTATATCTTAGCAAAGGCATAGTAAGATGGAATTGTAAAGACAGTAGCTTAGAAACATTCCATCTGTAAACAAAGGCATACCGTGACATTGATAGGATTGATAGGAAGCATTGATAGGAAGAATGGGTTCATACTTAAGAGTATAATGGCAGTGAGAGCAATGAGGAATGCATAGGATGATGCATATATGGCAAAGGCAGCTCACAGCCCCAGGTACTGTAGGATTAGAAGTCCTTTCTTCATGGAGTGCTCTGCTAGGCTGCTCTGCTGGGTTCCTGGGCTCTTTTCTCCATAAGCAGCTAGGTGGCGCAGTGGAGAGAATGCTCTACCTGGAGTCAGGAAGATTTGCCTCCATATCTGGACTCAGAAATTTACCAGCTGTGTGATCCTGGGCAGGTCACTTAACTTCTATCAATTTTCTCAACTGTAAAATGGGGATAATAGCACCTATCTCCCAGGCTATTGTGAGGATTAAATGAGATAATATTTGTAAAGTGCTTAGCACAGTGCCTAGCACAAAGTTAAGTACTTATTTACTTACTTCCTCTCTTCTCAGTGGCTAAGGGTCCCATTGTTTGAAACGGTTTCATTCTTTGAAACTGTTTTGTCCAAGTAACATCTGTATCCATGTGTGTCTCTGCTTTTTTCAATTGTGCCAAGACCTGAGCTGAGCATTCTCCAACCGAACCTGGAGAACTCTCAGACTTCTGGCTGGAGTCTCAGTTCACTGCTAGAGTCCATGGCTGATGAGAATGGTGAGGGAGACGGAAGTTTCCTTCTCTTCCTCCATGAGTCTCCTCCTCAAAGCCCTCCTGAGATCCTGGGCTTCTCTAAGACCGACCAAGTCTATAGGGCTTAGCTATTGAAAGCCTACAAAGCTGTGCCTCCCTTTTGCTTATCCAATAAGGTTGCTCACTTTAATTTTATCAGAGAAAGGTATTCACATGTCATAGAAGGATCAGGGAAATAAACGGAATCAGAAAATTTGAAGGGACCTCCAAGGTTATTTAGTTCAACCCATCCATGAAAGGAATCCCCATTATAACATACTCTACAAGTGGTCTTGAAGCCTGCTTAAAGACCTCTGAGGAGGAGGAACCATCACCTCTCCAGGCAGCCTCATTGACTTTTGGGTGGCTCTAATTGTTAGGAAGTTTTTCCTACCTTAAGCCTAAATTTGTCTTGTTTGCAACTTCTACCCATGACTTCTGGTTCTGCCATCTAGGGGCAAACAGAAGAGTCCTAGCCCCTCTTCCCCATGCCAGTCCTTCAAACACTGGAAGACAACTATGAATGTTCCCCTTGAGTCTTCTCCAGCCTAAACCTCCCCAATTCCTTCAGTCAATTCTATTATGATGGAGCCCTTCACAGTCCTGGCTGTCCTCCTCTGGACACTCTCCATTGTCCTTAAGCTGTAGTGCTCAGAACAGAAATCAGTCCTCCGGATGAGATCTGACAATAGCATGGGAGCATCATCATCTCTCTTTTTTTAAATTCTTTTTTACTTTTTAAAAATTTATTTATTTTTTGTTTTCAACATTCACTTCCACAAGATTTTGAATTCCAAATTTTCTCCCCATCTCTTCCCTCCCCCCCAAGAGGGCATGCATTCCGTATACCCCTTTCCCTAATCTTCCCTCCCTTCCATCTCTCCCCTGTTCTCTTGTTCCCTTCCCCTTTTATTTTCCTGTAGGGCAAGATAGATTTCTATACCCCATTTCCTGTATTTCTTATTTCCCAGTTGCATGTGAAAACAATTTTTTTAACATGTTTTTAAAACTTTGTGTTTCAGATCATCTCTTTATTATTGTATGGAGCTGTGTCCTTCAATGCAGCCAAAAATAGATATTGTGTTTGTTTTTTTTAACCCACTCCTTCACAGTTTGTTTGTTTTTACGTTGTTCTCTCCTGGTTTTCCTGTTTGTCCTACCACCCCAC